CTGTCAGTTCGCGGAAACATTTGTGTAATATACAAATTAAATGGCTTACGTGTACAGATCGAAAGCAGCTTGCTATTCCGGCCAAATGAAAGAACAATATGGCATCACTGAAACTAAGTTTGTAAGTCTAATAAAAAATAATAGTGAGCAACACACATACTACATGTACTGTATGTATGTGTTGCTCACTATTATTTTTTATTAGACTTACAAACTTAGTTTCAGTGATGTCATATTGTTCTTTAATTTAGCCGGAATAGCAAGCTGCTTTCGATCATCTGTACACGTGCCATTTAATTTGTGTATTACACAAATCTTTCCACAAAACAGACAGTTTTAAGTGCAAAAGGTGCGAAAGTGCAGAATCACTCCAGCATCCCCTTAATTGGAAAAACTTCTCGATTGTCGCTCTGCGCAACCGTTTCTTAAAGCGACTCGATCAATATTTTTGTCCGCCCCAAATTCAACGATGAATACGAGATGCCATTACTTATTCTCTCGGCGATTGCCCGTTGTCAGTCTCTAGATAGCACATTTGTAAATACTAGCATGTACGAAGGTCATGATATTCCCGTAATGTAAAGAGAAAGAAACACGTCACTGCATGTAACATTGAATATGTCGATCGTGGTAGATAATAAGGCTAGGCGAGACAGTATTCGCCTTGACGAAACGTGAAATCGGTTCAAGTTCAGTCGCAGCTTCGAAATAGGTGTTATTATTCGGCCCGCAATGTCGGGGAAATCAATATCGAAGTCGGAGAATTGTATTCAACGCGTGTATTCAATGCGCAATATCGCACGGCCCGACTTCGCCGTACGAAATCGCCCGTCTCGGCGGGCAGAGCCGACTTTGAAATCAATTGTCTCGGCGTAACGATTCGGACCGATTCCGCGCGTCGCCTTCGGAATCAAGTACAATACTATTTCGCACAGCTCTAGCAGATAATGCATTCGAATCAATATTGAAAATTTGTAGATAAAAGTGTGACAGGTTAACGTGGCTCGCTAGGGCGCGAGCGCGCTTATTAATTCTTTTTTTCTTTCTTTTTATCGGGCCCCGCGCGCACTCAGCGAGCCGCGACTAGTGCCATAATGTTGTAAGATCGTGAAAATTAATCAAAACTCGTGTCGTTGTCTTAACCGTTACATCCACGCACATCGGCTCTCCGCAGTTAAGTCCGCGGCGGGGTAAAGTCCGCGCAGACACTGTCCCGTTATTGTTAATTTTTCAGATACGAAAATTAATTACACGGCGCGAAAACTGTCGACGACATGCAAATCGCTCCTTTTGTTGGAAAGGAAAATTTCTGAAAAGGACTTGCGCGCAATTCTTATTTTTATACACGACGGGTGGCTCGCGCGACGAGGCCAGTTTCGCGGCTAACTTCCCCCCCTCAGCGATCATCAACATTTCAAAATGTCCGATGAAATTGCCGTGGTTTTCGTAACTTCTCGATCATGCGACATTTTACTGAGCACAACATTAAGTTTCGCGTGTTCATATGTCATATGTGTTCATTATACATTAGTTATATCTACTTTTATGCGCATTCCTGACCTAACGAATAAAAACGAACACTATTCTTAATTTAATTGATTTTCCTTGTCCCCCCCCCAACGCCTCTCTCGAACGCGAGGATTGTAGGTGACGGATTTTTACCCTTTTATTTCGGGATTACAAAGCTATGGCACTAACTATGCGTTGCGGTGCGTCGTGGTATAGAGAGATACGCAGTATTTGTAA